CCGCAAGATAGGAAGAAAATTCCTTCCTGGGGTTTGAGCTCATGGTGGGATGAGGATGCTACTGTAACAAGAGCCACTCTGGCTTCAGCTCTAAAACATTACAGACAAAAGCACCTCTTCCACTGCAGGAAGATGTCCAACATGTCTGCAAGAACTGTCTCCAAAGTATGAGTATCAGACCCTATCTCTGGATACAACTGTAGAACAGATATCACTGTCACACCAGAACCGAACTCTTCCTGTTAGCCTGCCTTGCTGAGCTTTGCAGAATCACAGAATCATTAAGTTTGGAAAAGACCTCAAAGATCATCCAATCCAACTGCCCACCTGCAACCACTATCACCCACTAAACCACATCTCAGTGCCACATCCCCACGTTTCGTTAACACCTTCAGCGACGGTGATTCTAACACCTCCCTGGACAGCCTGTGCCAGTGCCTGAACACTCTTTTCAGAGAAGCTTTTCCTAATGTCCAACCTGAATCTCCCCCGGTGCAATTTAAGGCCATTCCCTTTCATTTTGTCACTGGTTAACTGGGAGGCTGATCCGGTTCGTTAACTGCTACCCTGAGAAGAACCATGACACTGACAGAATTTCAGCTGGCACAGTGGTAATCACATCTGAGATCATCACTGGCACATCTAGTTTCTACCAAACAGTTAAAGGAGGGAGCAGAAAACCCAGCACTCTGTTCACCACCAGAGCCTGAACACCCAATCGAGAGGATGAAGTAATGTGAATGTCTCACTTCATAAAAAAAGCCCAACATCTGCCCATGCACCTTTCCAACTCTGACCACCAGCACATATTACATTCTATTAAATTACTGACAGGAAGAACTAAAGCTTAAAAAATAAATAACAGATCTGGACAAGAGCCCTGAGACGCAGGCAGCACTCAGCCCAGCTTCAACAACCCCATGCCTCCCAAACCTCATCTCCAGTCTGTGTGGGCTGGTCTCAGCCTGGAGCCTCCTGCTGCCGATCCTCAGCCCCACGCTCCCCCCTGAGCACAAAGGGCTAGGTCATTAATGGCTTGAGGTAATTCTAAACAAATTTATCCTTGCTACAGGATTTTCTTGTCTACCACCAAAGCCTATTAATGGTGTGACATTACAGAGAAGGGCTGGGGAGTGCTTATCCTCCAGTGCAAATGCACGACAGCTTCTGCTTCCCTGTGACACAGTGGCTTAAGCGTGGCTCCTTGCCTCTGAGGCCTGAGCTAATCCTCTGGCTGCACGCTGGAGCAGAGGCTCCAGTCTCAACCTGTCTCCCCAGGAGCAGAGGCCCTGAGACCCAGACGCTGCTGTCTCACCTACTGCTCTTTGCATGCAGAATCCACCCTACACTTTAATTTTAACTAATTCTCTCCCCCATGCTCCTGCAGCAGCCAACATTAGAGCCAATGCTTTCTGAACAGCTGCTCTGGAAAGAGGTGAAGTGAGGGGGAAGGGGAAGAAAGGAGACCAGAAAAATAGAATACAATTGTTTTTTGTCTCCCAGACCCTTTTTAACCCAACGAGCATCTCATCCAATGAAGCATGATGAGCATGAAGTGTTATATAAAGAAGATAATTATAAAGGGATTTAATGCTTGGCAGGCTTGCATCGCAAGGTTTATGGTGGAGGTAGCATACTCACTTAAACAGCCGTGTGTCCAGGCTTGCTATTACGTGGGCAGCACTGCTGGGGCCAAGTGGGATCAGAAACAAGATTTAGAAAAAAAAAGAAAAAAGAAAAAAAGAAAAAGAGCACAGCCCCTTCCCACTGAGGATGGCAGCTCCAGTCCCACCTCCTTCCAGTTCGGTCCCATCCCTGATTAATGATGTTGTCTTCCTGATTTATGACCCACCCCAACAGATTAGAGTTTCCCTCTTCAACCTCCCTCCCTCCCCCCCAGAAGGCACAGCCACACTCCGCTGGAAATATTAGAGAATTATTAAATAAACATTCATACGTCATGTCTCTTCCCATACTGAGCTCATCGTAGTCAACGCTCAGCGGCCGGGGCCTGTTTGCTTTGGGGCTGACACCAACCAGCTGGAGTGATTCATGGAGAGGCTGGCTACAATGCTCCGTGCCATACATCATGCTCGCAGCGCTCCCTGCCCCGGCGGAGATAAACTGATCAACCACAACGGGCTGGAATGAATTTATGACAACACAAAATTGAGGAAAACAAATGGGAGGTGACCCAGTGGGCCACTAACCCAGACTCTCTCGCTGGCCTGCAATCTAGTCTGGTGGCAGAAAGCAAAATTGAACATTGGCACTCTGAATTAAGATGCTGGCTTTTAACCCCAGGGAACCTCGGCCTCAAAATGGCGCCAGGCCGCTGCGGGCAGCTCCAGGGCGGAGGAGGAGGAAGACTTCTGTGGGGAAAAGCACTTCTGTGTCTGTTGCAGAGATGTGGGGTGGGCTTTTGGGCAATTAGGGACCGCTTTGCTGACCGGAGCCGCATCTCGTGCCAGCTGAGCTCGGCCCATCTGCTGAGGGCCCACATGGCCTGCCTGCTCCCAGGAGCCTTCGGCACAAAGCACCCAGTGGTGCTGCCCAGACGCCTTCCATCGGCACAGAGATGAGGTTATGTGGGCCTGCAGTGCTGGGAAGGAGAGTGCCCAGCACACGGCTGCCACTCAAAGTTCAGAGCTCACACTGATGAGCTCCAGTTCTCAGTGCTGACCTATCAGAGAAACACGGCTCTCCTCGCCTAGATGTATTTTTGGAAGAGGGGAGGGGGAAGGAACATCACCCGTAAGAAGGAAGGATCGATATGCAGATCATTGCTAATTCTATTTGCCACTGCCTGAACGGAGAGCATGGCTGAGACAGGTGGTAAGCCATGTGCTTCCCAATGCTTTGAAAAATGCTCATCAGATGCTACACAGTGCTTACCACGCCTATCAGCAATGTGCAGGTCTAAAAGCAAAAATTAAAGTTACAAGCAACAGTGTAAAGCGATGCTGCCGAAAACTTCCTGCAAGTGCCACCCAATACAAGAAAAATGAAACCAATTTAGGTCCAGATTAAGAAACAGGAACTAGAGATGAATCAATTTAGCCTGTTGGGTTGGATCGTCATATATCATGGCTCAGCAGTGGAGTGGGAATCAGACAGACAGTATGAAACCCTTCCCCCCCCTTCTGCAGGCTTCTAGCTCTGATCCCTGTTATCAATTAATTTAACAGAACCCCTCTACATAGACAAGCACACAGAGCATTCAGACTTCTTAAATGGCAGGACAGAAACTATTTATCACACACAAATCTCAAAGGAAAGGAGCAAAAAAAACAAAAACCCAACAAAACAACAACAAAAAACAGCAGTTAGGAAATTCTCCACCTGAAACACCATCTTGCCTTCTGAACCTCAGTGAAATAAAGGGCCTTAAATAAAAAGTCCTCCTTGCTTCTTTAAAAATCAGCATTATTGGAAAGACTCAGCAAGACACAGAGGTCCTTCCTGTAATTTCTATTGGGTTTTGCTGACCTTTCGCACCTTCTGCAGCACTGAAGCTTCAGCAGGACAAGATTATTGTGGAACAAGGCACTGTGTGCATATATGCACACGCACACACACGTGCATGCAAAGACACACACACTCACTCACCCCTCCACTTCACAGCAGAGCTGGCACACGCGTTGTTTGGAAAGGATTCTGGGATACTTCAAAAGGTGCTAGCTAAAGCCTCTTTGATCAGATTATTAAAGCTATGTCAATTTTATCACTTGAGCTCAAGTGTTCTGGAAAATGTCAAATCCTTTCAGCTCCTGCAGTTTAAAGATTTTCAATAGAAGTAGATCTGGGAGGGTGGAGGGCTGCTAGTCTGACAGGCAGGAGGCTTGGAGCAGTATCTGAGACAGACGCTGACAGATCAGGGCAAATGGGATGCCTGTATTCTTGAGTCCTGGCCACCAGAACATGTACAATAGCCGAGCTAAGGGCAACACTGTTTCAGCACTGACCTGTGAGCTCTCCTGCTCCTCGGTCTTTGGCCAAAGTCCACTCACAAAGTATCAAACGGCACACAGCCCATGTTTGGTATATGCCAAAAAATTGTCTTGCAAAAAGCACCCAGACTGCAAAGCAGTGTTAAAGCTTCCTCTGCAGTAGGGAATTTCCTCAGCTGTAACTCCTGATTGTGAACAAAAGCTTTGCCAGGCTGCCTGAACTATGAGACACCCCACAGTGTGCAAGTGACACAAGCTTCTGCATCAGGACCAGAGTAAGAAGTTAATTACATTAAAGAATAACTTTCTTTAAAGTCTTCATTTCAACATCAGGTTTTTCCCCATCCTAAATTATCAATATATCTCGCCCCAAAGTGTAAATATTCCCTTCTTAAAACCTGCTTTTTCTCATGTCTTCCATTTAATTCAAGCTGCTTTGCCTCTCACTTGATCTTGGGACAACGTTTCATTTCAGGCAATCAAAAAATCCCATAATTAACAGCCCATGGCAACAGTGGATAGCCTGCAGTTGTATGCTAGGACTACCAAATGATGCCTAAGCAGGACACCTCCTGAGCTTGTGGGAGTAAGCTGAGGAGGGAGGCTGTTACTCAATCACAAAGTGCAGAAAAAAAGCACTTTTTTTTTTTTCCTCTCCTATGCTGGAGGATATCCAGCTAGCAGAGAGGGAAAGGAAAGGAGACGACTGGGGCACCTGCATTATTGAACATTCAAACACTGAGAGTCAAATTTCTGATTCGACTGGAAGGGCTGGTAAACATTGAATAAACATAGAAACTGAGAAATATTTTTGTTAGTAACCATACAGAGATATAATCTGGATCTTAATTCTCTCAGTGAATCTCCTGCCAAGTTATGGGACTGCTGGGATCCCCCTTGTTGGAAAGATGGAGGGTGGTACATGCAAGTACATTAGAAAAGACAGAACAGAGACAATGGACTGTCCTCAAAAACAGAGATAGGTGAGAGTCAGTGGACTCCATAGTTCTTAAACCAAGAAGAAATAAAAGCTATCCACTTTACACTCACTTTTCAATGTCACTGTTCTTACAGGTCTTCTGCATGGTTTCCTGTTTACTGCTTTCACCATTACTCGTTGAGGGCATTTCTGTTGAGGGAAGAACAGACAAATTATTAACAGAACAGGACATTTTACCACTGAGATGAAGTAGTCCAAGTTACAGTTTCAGAAGCAGAGGACTCCAGTGAGACATTTTCATATCAATTTTTCAAGAGAGGAGACCAATACTACATACCCCTGCCTGGCAGGGAGGCCCTCTCCCTGCATAGCACAGTTCCACAAGTTAGGCTGAAAGTACAGTACGTACCCTCTTTTCACTATAAACTGACTACCCTTGCAGATGTGCCAGCTGTTTAAGCCAGGATTTAATTCAGAAAGGTTTGATGCAGCTGTTGCACCAAAAAGTACTTCCAGAAAGGTGACTACAGAGCAAACTTATCCAGCCCAGACTCTGCTCTCAACTTCCCCCTTTTTTCAAGACTCTTCAGGCACAGACAGGAAGAAAAATATATGCCAGTAAGTAGTATGACAGAACAGTCTGCTTGTGGCTCTCTTCTCAACCAGCAGTCCCATGGCTCCTCCCAGCACAGGAGGGGTGTGAGCCTCCAGGAAAGCTAACAGTCAGAAACAAGCCAGATGAACCATCCTGGGGCCAGTCCCTGGGCTGCAGGTTCAGCACCACTGCCTCATGTAAAAGGTATGAAGAAAACAGAGCTCATAGCAAGCACCATCAGAGCTGCTTCCTCATCACTGCTGTGGCTGCAGTTACTGAAGCTGAACACACCTACGAGTGAGCCTACATCAAAGAAAACAGATGTGATTGCCTACCCCACGGAAGCAAATGCCTGCGATAGATATCTTATGTTCTTCATTTAATCATCATGCCTTTGGCAAAACTGCTCCTACCCAACCCCCTCTTCCACTGACAGTCTCTTATGTCTTGTAGGTACTTTAAAAGCTGGGAATCAAAAGCCCAAAGCATTGCTGTAACAGAACAGGAAACAGAATCACTGGGACAAGTCTCTTCAGGTCACTGAGCTTCAGCTCCCTTCCTAAGGGAGCTAGAATAGCACTGCCCAGCTCTGGAAATGGATTTGGCATCTACAGCTGGAAAGCGCCAGGTTTTATTATTCTCATATTTCCACTGGGTTGCTGCTTACACTTCCAGTGCTGCTGGCATTAAATAAAACAAAGCAACAGCTGAATAGGTTTAACCCTCCACCCCTCAATTAATCATACGAGCTTCCAAATAATTTGAATTACTAATAATGTGAATTAAAATTTCACATTCACTCGTTTGCTCCGGAGTCTCTGCAACAAGTCACAAGGTAGCATAGATCCCAGAACCTCCAGCATACCCCTTTAAAGATGTGAAGATGAAAGCAGCTGAGGGAAAAAAAAAAAAAAAAAGCAACAGGTGCCTATATAGTTTAAACTCCTAACAGCTGAACAACAACATTACAGTCAAGCACTGATGGCTCCCTCTGTGATATAGCAGTTTGTCTTTTAGCGACAAGACAGCAAGTCAATCCAACCCTGTCTCTATCACCATATCACTTACAGTTCCATTTTTGGGAACTTCCCCAAATTCACTGGCTACAGTTCACTGTGCTATAAATTTTAAAAAAAAAGGTAACATAATAGATTGCACACACATCTGCTGGTACTGCGCAAGAGCACCTGTACCTATCATTTTCCTAATTACTGGTAATTAGAAGATACGGAATACCTATCTGCCCTCCTGTAGCTAACAGATGAATTATTGACATGCTTAACACTCACCATCGCTGGCCCATTTAGAAAACTCTGGCGTTATTCGAGTACTGGGTGTGCCACCACTAAAAGAGAGAAGGGCAGAATGTTAAAGGTTGAATGTGGAAGATTTTGCTGCTTGGGAAAAGCCAGTGCTTCCGCCCACCAGTCCAAATACATCTCTCCCAACACTTCTAACTATCAGTCTAAGCATCACATGTGAGCTGCTGGCTTGCTGCAGGAGGTGTTTTTGTGTTAGCTCGCATCTCTACCAGTGAACTCCCAACCTGCTCTTCTAGCTGAGACCTCTGCTGAATCACACGAGGGTTGTGATGCTGACTGAAGGCTTGGGAATCAAATAGCACCTGTGACCTAAAGCTCGTTCTCGAATACCCAGCTTCAAAGATGAAAACCCTACCAGTGAACAGAAATCCTCCATGCTGCAATAGCTTCTTGCTTTAGAACTAACTGTATGCCATCACAAGCCCCATCCTTCTCATTTTCCCATTTGAAGAATGACAGCATTGAAGTGCAGACCACTCCTGGCCCCATCCATTCATTTGCAAGCCAGTAACAGAGGCAGTAAGAGAAAGGAATCTTCCCAGGAGCCTGTATACTTGCAGCTGTATAACATTTCAGCTCTACGAGCTGTGACAGCTGTGCTCAAAAGGTAACATAGGCTTATGCTTCAGGGCATCAGCTAATTTACCTAATTTACTGCATTCCTACAGAAAGTTGCCCAAATTTCAAAGTGCTTTCACAAGCAACATTATCCCTTCTGCTTTACAGAGAGATGTGGAAAGACTTCATACAAACAGCAAAACATCTTAGGTGCAAGTCACATGAAGGAACTAGGTTTCCACATCTCACATCCTCAGTGGTCTCACTTAAGTGTTAAATGTCCACAGCCACTAATAAGGGACACTGATATCTTGTTACAGCACTTCTTTTTCTTAGCTGTGAAGGGGCTTTAGCATCTCCGAGGCATGTCTGTGGTCTAGCACAGTTTGCAAAGTACTGAATGGATCAATGGTTTGGATCCAGTATGGCAAATACACACTTCTATGGAGTGGAACCTAATTTTGAACTAGTGTTTGTGACAGACTATGCAGTAAGAAAACTTCATTTCACTGCTCTATCAATCACTTCAACCTTGACCTCACAGGATCACTCTGCAAAAGAGACAGAGGGGTAATTTAAGCCCTGCTTTATGCAGGGCAGAGGGCTTAGAAAGCAATCCTAGCTCTCTGTTAAGACTCATTTTACTTGCTTGAAATGCTTCCCCAAGCGCCCTGAACGCTGTCTGCCTACATTCTTGACACATGCTTGTGGGCATAGCACTCATTCTGCCCAGACCTGCATGCAGGATTAATCTGTACACCCTGCAACACAAATATGATGCGATGAAATCATACCTTAGGTGCCAGTCTCCTAATACATGGCAAGATGTGCACAAAGCCCTGACACAGCACAGGTTCCCCATGGCTAGAATCCACCCTTTGTCCAGCACTGCTCAGGGACAAGATAGCACTGGCTGGGCAATGTAGTGGTTAAGGTGGGGAAGTGTGTGCAGGGAAGCTTTATGAGGCTGCACAGACAGAAATGGAGACCCACCTGTTACACAGTGGTTCTTTGTAAGACTCCTTTATGGTGGTCCTTTGGTCAAACAAACAGATACCTTCCACAAGTTGAGATTCCCCAGAAGTAACAAAAGCAAATCAGAAAGGCACAGCACTTACTTTAAAACAGCACCTCGGAGCGCCTCCCTCTCTTTGGCTTCACCTGGCTCTTCTCCAGTGCAAGGGATAACGTCTGCCTCTGTGTACCTGAGCACCAGGAGTTAAGAAACATACAGCCTTGCTGCAGACAATGGAAAGAATTCTGAGATCGCTGGGACACTATCTGGGTACAGAACATATTCACACCAAACCTCAAAGGAACAGCAGCTGGTATCCATGGAGAGGCTTGCTTTTAGATTCTGGATAACAGTTTTGTTTTAGGTGGAAAGATACAGACAAGTCCTTAGACAGCAACAAAACCACAGCTTTTCAGAAGAGGAAAACCAATTCCTCAACCTCTAAAAGTGAAATTTGCACAACTCTACTATTTCTGTTTGAAGTACGGAGATCAACCAGCTAAAGCTAGATGCTTTGGTGTTAAAGACCGGTGCAGATCTGAACACAATCTAATTCTGTAGATTTATATTCCTTCTCAACACAGCTATGTCGATGTCTGCCTAATACCCTTGTGGGAAGTCCTCCTTGATGGCTGCACAGCTGCTGTAGGGCAGAAGTTCTGGAGCTGTGTCTGAAGAGTCTGGCTCCCAGCTGGAGTTCCAGAAAACTGCCCCTAATGAAGCGTCTAACAAAAGGAATAAAAACTTATTCTCGCAGTTACAGCTGCAGGTGAATAATGCTTGAAATATTCACTGCACAAAACCCCTGAGAAATCAAACAAACATCTTGTGGAAAATAAACTACATTTCTAACCACAAAGCAGGAAAAGCTACCTATACAGAAGATGCTTGGACAGACACAAAAGTTAGTATCACTTACGAAATACAGACTGGAGAAACAGTAGTTTTGATCTCCTTCAACATCTCATACAGACTTCACTAACAAGATCTGAAATAGCTCTGCATGTATACAAGGACCTCAAAGAGAGGAAACTGAGAATCCCTATTAGCTCAAATAATGTGGTAACTGGGGAAGGTGGTGCCTTTTCTAGTATGGCTGGACGCACTGCCCAACACTACCCAGAGCAGTGCTACATAAGCACCAGCTGAAGATGGATCTCTAGGCTCCCTCTCAGTTATAAGCCTTTCAAAAACGATACTGTGGTTTCCCGTATTCGAGTGTGTCGTCCCCATCCACGTCCAGGTCTGCGTCGCTGTCTGGATTCTCTTTGCCGCTGCACATGATGAACCCAGAACCTGGAAAATAAAACAACAGAATGTGCTGGTGAGCATTTGAAATGGAGACCAAGCAAAGGAGATCTTCTAAGGATAGGGGTACCAGCCTGCAGGTCATCCTTTACTCTGAACGGGCTCACAAAAGGTATCATCATTTAAAACAAACAAGCAAACAATGCATTCAGGGTTTTTTTTAAATTATTTGAAATGTTTAAGAAAAGCAAACCTGCTTCTAAGAAAACATCAGACTTCAGTCATTAGCAGCCCCTTATGAACACTTCCTACGTGAGCAAGTTCTAGTACAAGTCAACAGGAGTCCTGTACTTCTAGCAAGAGTTGATCAGGCACAAGCCCAGTCCCAAGCAAGAGGAAACGATGCCAGCTGTGCAAGTACTCCTTTCTAGCAGTATATAGATTTATTTTGGTTCCAAAGCATTCTGTTGACTGTGTTACAGCTGGATGTAATCAGGTTTCTTATAACTGAATGCAAGCACCTACAGAAGATGGATCTTCACTTGCTATTTACTACCTGAAGATTAGTAATAGGAGGGAAACCCTTATATTTACCCTCTATGTGTTCAAACACTGGACATGCTCTCTCCCATGCAATTGAAAAATCGAACAAAGATCTCCTGCTACTAGGGTAGTGCAAGGCCCTTATCTGCATTCAATTCTATAGCAGATAAGGTGAGTTGTCTTGGGACATAACTATACAGACCTAATTCTGCTCACTCTGGCTGCCTCCAGCACGCGCCTTCACTTACCATCCCACTCTCCTGGGACAGATGGCACTAGGTGGAAGGCAAAGGATGGGGCACAAACAGATGGGTGCTGACCCAAGCCTGTGACCAGACCTTCAAGCACATCCTATCTGCTGACACCCAACAAGAAAGGTAGAGGTGGCCTTGGCTTTGCATGAACGTCCCAAAGGTGGTAGAATTCTGCATTGCCAATCTAAGTGCAGAAGACAGGCTATCATTAATGTAGGAATGGTGAACATGAGGTGCATCTCTGAAGAAAGATGATGTTATCAGAACCTAAGTCAGCCTTTCGAGTGGTATGATGGCTTGAGTTGGGCTCCCACAGTCTCACATGATCAGCAGCAGACTTGTACTTTCCCAGCTGAGAGGAGTGAGCTGTATTCCTAAGTCTGCATCTGTGCACAGAACAGGGCAAGGCGAAGGTCTCATTTCCAAGGACACCATGCAGACAGAGCCCTTTACTGTCGCTCTCTAGGAATGGATGCTTTCACTGATTCATTAAGCCCCCAATAAAATTTGTTTATATGGATTTGATATTTCTCTTCCCTGAATATAAAGAAGGTCCTTAACGAGGGATAACCGTAGCACAACGATTTTAAGACTAACCTTTTCTAGAAGCATAAACTACCTTTTACTTGAAAGTAATTGGCAGCCTTAATTTCCAGCAGAAGCAACGCTACCAGCATCGACAATGCACATCCACCCTGTGTGTCAGGTAGTGCAAGAGGTGCTCGTAGGTCAGCTCTGCAGTGACATCAGGGCAGCCTCCTTCCATCAGAGCCTTTATAGGTGTAGTGGCCACACACTGCCAGCCAACATATGTCATGAGCTGCCTCCTATTGCTGCAGTGGCTCATCTAGTAAATCTTGGAACCTTCAGTTCATCACAATGTTTGGGAGAAGATTTAGAGTACTAAGAGAGACCTGTCAAAGAAGCTGGATAGTCTTTCAAAGCTGCCTGAGAAGTCGCAGGGGGTGATGGGGCAGTAATTTACAGGCATGGCATTTAACCTGCAGTAACACCATCCCCTGCACCTGGCATTGCTTTAGCCCATCACTTCTCAAAGGCCATAAACTTCGGACATACAGGTCTTCATTTTTCTTTTGTAGCTGTGGGAAACACAAATCATGTAGAGCTAGAGCTGTGACTTGGCCTGTCCCAGAGGTGATCTGAATGTTAGCCAGATAACGAATACTTGGAGACTGCTGGGAGGGAAAGGGGTCCAAAAGAGTGAATCTAAGAGAGACTGCTCCCTGCATGTCTCTCTCTGAAAGAATGCCAAGCACTCAGAAATCGTGCATCTTTCTATCAATTTTGTTCCCAAGTGACTTAAGCTGACTAGTGGTTTATGGTTAGAGCTTAAGAAAAGAAGATCTGCTTACTGTGAAACAATTGACAAATATGAAGGCACCTTGACTTCAGAATCCCAGTGTCCTTGCTCTCAAAACCTTTGCACTTAAGAAAATCCCTTTTAAGTCTGTAATGGTAATACTCCACAGATCTTTTGCTAAATCTAGCTCTGCAGTAGAAATGACTGCATTCCCAACAGGGTGCTTTCTTTCCTACTGTACACAGGAATGTATAGGGGAAGGGTTTGGACAAGACATGTTCAGATGACAGATGCGCACTGGGAGAAGAACAGAACAGAGTAGTTCACAGACTAAGCTGAGCTGTAGTAATAGGGCAAATTTTGCCTTCTGATAGAACAAGGACTCCCAGACCAATGCCTAAAAGAAGTCACAATAAGGTGATCCAACTCTGAGCTCCACGCCAAATATGGTCTATTTTTTTAAAGTGTTTTTTTTTTTTTTCTTCTTAAATAAGTGTAATTCATAGAAATAAACCCAGCAAACTAATTCAGAAACTGTACACTAAACAAAATAAGCTCTGTACCAAGATTGAGTGTAGTCGTGCTATCAGTTAAGATTTCAAAGGTTGTCAAAAAAAAAAAGTGCGGGGGGGAGGGCAGAGAAATGACAAAACATGATTCCAGTGCAAATCTAAAAGTCTATAAATCCCAGTACTACCACAGCATGTTGAGAATGTGAAAGAGGAGGATGCCAAGCTTGGTCCAACATCCCCTGCAGGAGGGCTGGTGGCAGGCCACTCATTCTGATGCCTTCACCTGCAGCAGGGATGGATCCTGAGGCCAGTTCTGATGGGCTGGGGTTTAGTGCCACAGCTCCAACCCGACTCTCCTTGCCTAACTTCCTGAGGTTGCTTCCATGCACAAAGCCAGTGAAAACACCCACACAGCTGTTCAAATATTTGACGTCTGAACTGCTTGACATTATTCATTCATCTCAGGCTCATTCAAAACAGATTTCTGGACAAGTGCTGTTATAAATGGATTAAGAGGGCCACTAAATGCAAGGAAGGCCTGATAGGATCACACCTGCTTCTCAGTAACTCAGCCCAAGTGTAAAGAGGGCTCAGAACTTTAGCTCATGCTGACAGCTCCACAGTACCATCCAGAAGCGAGGAAGATGCGAAACGGAGCACTGAGGGCATTGAGCAGAACAAACCAGCTCTGTAATGGGTCTGTTTCAGACCCAAAGGAGGAGATGGGGAGCTTCCAGAAGACCCCCAGCCACTACACGTGGGTGATTTGCAATCCAGCAGCGTGCCCCTGGCTCCTTGGCAGGGCTTTGCTACCGAAGGACACGCAGTAATTCACTGCATCCGCAGAGCTGCCTAGAGCGCACTGCTAAAACCAATGCCGCTATCCAGAGGTCAATGCTCAAGACCAGAACTTTATCCCAATGTGTTAATAAAGTGAAATCCGACAACTGAATGTTAAGTTGTACGCCTGACCTAGGAATTCACAGGAGATGTGATCCCGAGGCTGTTATTCATAGGAACAGCTGCGAATCTTACACAGAGGGTCACCTAAAGCCTCAAGAACATAATTCCACATGTGAATTTGAAAATGCTACTTACAGATTAAACCAAAGCACAAACTCTCTTACATCTTGTTGAAGAATTTTTTTTGTTCTTGCTGTGCACTTGGCAGGAGGCAACCACTAGTCATGTGCTGCCATCCCCGACACAATTAGCCTCCTGATGCGAAAGCACCACAATGCTCTGACAGTCTTAATCCCTGCTGCCTCCTTAAGGTCCAGACAAACAGGAGTGAGCAGGCAGGTCAGGCACTGGGGCCATTAAGCAGAGAAAAAACAAAGTTACAGCTCTGTCTCCAATCCCCATTGCTCTTGCAGCCAGGTGCTCTGACAAGCAATTCCAGCACTGGTATTGAGTGGCACCTCTATAAACCCTGTGACAGTTTGGGAGACAAACTCCCCCATCAATCAGAGTGTACCTATCAAGATCACTTACCTAGAGCGCCCGCTGCCCTCCGGCACTGTGTACACAGCTTTGCTTGGGCTGGCCTTGGAGCAATCCACCTGAGCTCCGATTCAAGTCGGTTTCTGAAAATTTTAGGTGATCTACAGAAGCAAAAATGTTTCTGAAATACAGAGGCCGAGCTCTGAAAAGCAGGACATACTCACACGCCTCTTCACCACCACCAGGCTGCAGGCACTGACAGGCTATAGGAATCAGCTGAGCTTGAAGGAGACAGGGAAACACTTCGCACTTCCTTCCACGTACAAATTAATAATGGCTGGTGATAAATCTCATCAGAAACCTTTTTTTCCCCCTCTTTTCTAAGTTTTCAGAGCACTTTGTTTTCTCCTAAGCTGTCCCCTATGCCTAAGCATCCTCCCTGACCTCTGCACCACTCCTCAAATTGCAGCTCCTTTGTGCAATCCCCCCGATGACAGGTCATCTCAACATATCTTCACTGAATGGCAGCTCTGGCTCAGACAGAGAGTCATTAACATGATATATATAAACAGATTCACAGAACAGAGCAGATAAAAGGACCTCACATTCAAGTCCCTCCTTTTCTCCATCACGCTCGGCAGCAGATGGTTGCAGTGACAACATATGCTTCTTCAGGTGTTGGCACTGCTGTCTCTCATGCTCACATGCAGACTGGTCGACAAAGGAACAGAAAGGTGGGACAACCAGACCAGTGTAGACCCAGATCTCTCAGCCAAATTTCATCAACACAGCAGGGAAAACACAGGCCTACTGTGCTCCTCAGCTCCTACCTGGGCAGAACGGTCAATAAACGCACAGAGAACAGCTGGTCCCCAATGCCATCCCATCAAACACAACCAAGGAACAAAATTAAAGTGTTAATGGTAGTATTAGCCACACCACTGTTGTGACAGCAGCTACTTGATGCTGCTCTTG